ATCTTAAGTAGGTTTCTGTACCTCCAACCAGGAGCCCTAACACACACCCCTCCAACTTCAATCCTGCACTTTTCTCTGGCCCCACCTTCAGATAACACAGAAGATGCTGCATGTATGCAGTGTTAAAGTGAAAAAAACCCAGCTCAATCCCGCTGTCTGGGAGTCAGGCCCTCAGAAATTGAGATCAGAGGCAGGGACTTGAGTCTTAAAGATCTTGCAGTTTCTCAATGATACCAAGTGCCTTGCACTCTCCTGCATGAAAATGGGCAATAATGGAATCCACCCATTACCTTTTAATGCTTGTGTATGAACATATAAAACTCAAATAAACCTTAAGAATTGGTGGGTAAAAATGAAATATCAACTACACATGATAAACCAGGAGGATTGGCACAGGAATATACACAACATGTTAACAGGCACAGACGGACAGAACACCTTTCACAGCAGAAAGACCAATCTCAGTCCCCTTTTTTTTTCTTTTAATAATTTTATTTATTTTTTCCCCCAAAGCCCCAGTAGATAGCTGTATGTCACAGCTGCACCTCCTTCCAGTTGCTGCACGTGGGACACGGCCTCAGCATGGCCAGAGAAGCAGTGCGTCGGTGTGCACCCGGGATCTGAACCCGGGCCGCCAGCAGCGGAGCACGCGCACTCAACCGCCAAGCCACGGGGCCGGCCCCTCAGTCCCCTTCTGATTCACATCTTCAGCTGTGGGTCAAGAGCTAGTGGTGGAGGTCAAGGACATGGGTCAGCTTCAAGAGTCCACCACACCAAGGCATCGATGGAAATGCCGTGAGACAGGCAGACACAGGGGAAAAGTGAAGGGGCTCCTGTGACCTTTCAGCCCCTACCTCCACTGCCTCAGGCATCCTTTCTGCTTACAGCAAAGGCTGCCCAAAATCTCCAGGAACTTTACTTAATAATTCCATGTTCTGACAATAGATAGACCCCAGAACTAACAAAACCACCCTGGATTTATAAATATTACACCCCTGACCCCCACACATGGAGCAGACCCTGGCTAAACTCCTTGGCCAGGAAGGCTGAGTATTTGGGCAGCTCCTGGAAAACAAGTTGGAAGGTATGAGTCCTTCTCAACACTCCCCCTCCCAATATCTCTGGCTCCCAAGTCCAGTCAGGTTACAAAAGTAGTTCATGGAGAGCAGACCATCCGAACTGCTGAATTCTACCAGTTCAATGAGTACTAGATAATGTCCACATCTCAAAGCAATAACCACGCTAAGTTCTTTCCTGTCATGACCCCACACAGCCTGTGGTAAGAAGTACTGATACACAGACATATGAGGTAGCAGACTTCATCTACCTTCCACAGGGTAAGAGAGAACTATGAGAAAACACCTGTTCCCTCACTAGAACAGCAGCCTTCCAGTGACTTGAAAATACCCTACTTGTGAGGGCAATGGGCTTGACTAATAGAGCAACAGAAATAAGGGAGTCTTTGGAATGAGTTACTAGATGAGTATGATGTCCACCGAGCAGAGCTCAAATTCCTGGATTTCAAAACTCCCCTGGCTGTCAGTCTCCTTTTTTCTAGAGTGTTTCAGGCGACAAAGGCCTGTGCCACCGGTATGGGCCACGGTGGGGTTCTTGGAAGGTTGTATGTCTGCTGGCACTGGCAAAAACTCCTCCAGAAACAGTTTTTTTCCATCAGCTAGAGAAACTGAAATGCCCTTAATTGTAATGAATTTACTTGCCTTAGAAGCCAGGAGGTACCAAGGGGACGACTGCTCTGTGGTAATCATCAAGAGTAGAACAGAGACTTTCTGTTCTACAAGGGGACAGTCCGGCTACCAACCGATAGTAATGCCATCACGAAGCTAAGAAATTGGGTAACAGAAATTTCTGACTGGAATCAAGAACATTAACAACTATGTAAATAAAATTCAATAAAAACTGGATGAAATACTTAACTGAAAACTAAAACAAGTCAAACTGATCATGGAAATTAGTCATAAAGGTATTTTAGTCATACAACCTAAAACAGGATTAGAATAAAAGCTGAGGTTCTTAATTAAGCAAATGTCTCTAATGTATGTAAAGGTGGAAGTGCAAAAGAAAAAACCCAACTGTTTCCTCCTGATTTGGCACTCTAATCATGTGGCCTTGAGGAAGACACCGTCATGGCTTCCTAGTCCTCTTGTCTCTTGCAAGGGTGCCAAAGAGATCCTCAGAGAAAAAAATAGTGAATTTCTTCCTTCCTAAAAGTTCTTTCTCTAGAAGCAGAGGTTGTAACTGAATAAAAAGCTCCAAGGCCCTATCAGACTGAAGCCAGGAGAGCTACTTGAGAAGCTGCTTATGACACAACTTCAGGAGATTAAGCTTTCCAGCCTCCTTAGGAAAAGATAGATATTCTTTCCCTTTCAGGGGGAACATGGCCACTGGGTGATGATTAGTAAGTCATAAGCCAGAGGCCCCACTGTTAGACTGTTTTCTCATTTTCCTTCATTGATAACACATCTACAAGATCCACCTACCAAACTATGGTTAAGTAAAACGTACAATTTCCCACCTAGAATTAGTCAGACAGGTAAGCTCCCTGCCAGCAGTGCCTTAACTCTTGGGGTGCCTAGGGTGCAGCAGGGTGCTGGCCTGTGGCAGGTGCTCAGAAGGCGTTCCAGGAGCTTGGGCAGTGGAGCCGCACAGTGTCAATGCTGCCACTGAGCAGCCTCTCCGTGGCTGAGTCTCACTGTGAAACAGGGTTAATAAAAGTACCTACTTCACTGAGTTGATGTGAGGATTAAATGAGAAAACCCATTAGCATTTATCACAGTGCCTGGCACGTGCTAAGGTAAAAAAGGTAAAGGTTTGTTGACTGAATCAGAACTTTTGTTCGGCACATAACCATTATCATCAAGGTAAATTCATTAAAAAAAAAAAAAAAGTCAAAGCTATTTGTGGTGAAGTATGCTTAGGAGGATTATCACCAAGGGGCAGATTTTCCAACCACTTTTCAAAATTCTAAAATGAGTAAAGACCGCTACTACTACTATATGGACAAACGCTGGAAAATAAGGACTGAGCCACAGGCCAAGTCAATGTAAGGAGAAAAGACTGGCCAACTTCTAAGAGAAAGCTCCTTTAATAGACAGGAAAACTGGAATAATTTTATTAGTGAAAAGAATACTATAAAGGAATAGAATGTCCAATTATTGAATGACTCATTACCCTTACCTTTTCTTTCATTTCTTTCTTACCCTGATTCTCATACACAAAACACCATTCCATTTTGGCTTAGCCCAAATCATAATTGGTCAATTCCTTCTCAAGCGTCTGCATACATGGTATCCAGCTTGTTCATCAAAGATTCTACAGCCACTTTCAGTTGCTAGATTTCTAGAACTGTCTCTCACAGACTGCTTTTGCTAAATTTCTCATATTTATAATCCTATTTCAGCCCATTTTCATGCTAATCTTCTTTCCTCCACAAAGAATGCAGAAGAAAGTGCTACAGAAGTTTCTGGAGAACGGGGTTCTGAGGATACTGAAGTGAACCACAGATGAGTGAATCAGGGGCAGAGGCACTGCAGGACAGGGGCAGCAACTCTAACGACTCTGCTTACAAAAACAGAGCTCCTGAGATTTTTATCATCATCTCAAACATCAGGTGAGAGAACCAAAGGACACTGCTGATCAACATCGCTCCAGAGGAGGACAACAGGCACCTTTAAAACACACACACACACACACACGAGTTCATATGTTGACAGACAACCTGCATGATCCCTGCCTACTAAAATCTGCTTAATGCCATGACCCTGCCTCACCTGGAGTCCTGTCCTCCGGCAGAAGGACCTGCCCCTCCTCCCAGAATGCTCAGTGCCAGGCTGCCCAGGAAAAGGAAGCAGCTGCCACTACTCACCTTCTCTCCCTTAGAAACTGAGATGGGATATACCAACCTTGGTTTTAAAAACAGAATCTATAAGCTGTGTCCCATGCCACCATGTATCTACTTTACGCCTATTTTCCTCCCAATTCTCAGGCTTTTCTCTTTTTTTCTGTCCAAATTACCCTGTAGAAAAACCCCTTTTACATGTATCATTTGACTTCTCAGCAGGATCTCAACAGTTTGAATCTACACATAAGCCTCACCTCATTGCTTAACAAACTTTGCTTATACTCATAAGGTTTCTCTCCTGTGTGGATTACCTGATGCTGAAAAGAAATAAGTTTTGAAGTTAAAGGTACCATATCTCTCACAATAGAACAAAAACATTTTGAAGAGGCCTAAATAAACAAGAAAGCCCAAACTGGTTCCATTACACTTGAAAGTGCAAGGATCCCAGTTACTTTTCTTGAAGCTGAAACAGACGATGAAGAGGAAAGAAAAGAAACACAAGTGGCCAAATGAAATACCTAACTACTCTAATGTCTGGTGCTATAAAAACATGATCTAAATAAGTATATTTATTATTATTTTTTTTGTGAGAAATATCAGCCCTGTGCTAACATCTGCCATCCTCCTTTTTTGCTGAGGAAGACTGGCCCTGTGTTAACATCCGTGCCCATCTTCCTCCACTTTATATGGGATGCCGCCACAACATGGCTTGCCAAGTGGTGCATCAGTGCATGCCCGGGATCCGAACCGGTGAACCCTGGGCCGTTGCAGCAGAGTGCATGCACTTAACTGCTTGTGCCACTGGGCCGGCCCCTAAATAAGTATATTTAAATTACACTTGTTTAAAGTACTAAAGCAGAGGGCCATCCTCCGAATCTGAGGGAAGGTATGTTACCTTGGAATTTTTACCACATAATTTGGGAGCCTGCCTTTAGTTAGCAGCTCATTGGGAGATAAATCTCGTAAGAGCTGAATCTCCAAAATGAGTCATAAAATGACGGCTTTCTCATCAGTATTTACATCTCCTGCTGTAAAACAGTGGAAAAATTTGTCAAATACAGCAGTCACTCTCCACTGTGAACTTGATGATGCTGAATGAAAGCCGCCTGTGCACTAAAGAGCTCCCCACACTTACTACACTTACAGGCTTGCTCTCCAACGGGAATTTTATGAGTTTTCTCATGACTGATAAGAGTTATTCTCTGACTGAAAGTTTTCCCACAGTCATTACACTTATGAGGTCGCTCTCCACTGTGAATTCTCTGATGTCGAATAAGGTGAGAGCTTTGTCGGAAGGATTTTCCACATTCTGTGCACTCGTAGGGTTTCTCTCCAGTGTGAATCCTCTTGTGTTGAATAAGGGATAAGCGTGCACTGAAGGGCTTCTCACATTCATTGCACACGTAGGGCTTCTCTCCAGTGTGAATCCTCTGATGCTGAATAAATTGTGAATGCTGACTGAAGGCCTTGCCACACTTACTACACTCATAAGGCTTTTCGCCAGTATGAATTCTGCGATGTTGAATCAGAGAGGAACGAACATTGAAGGCCTTCCCACAGTCACTGCACTCATAAGGATTCTCTCCAGTGTGAATTCTTCGATGGCGGATAAGGTGTGCACTCTGGCTGAAAGCTTTCCCACAGTCACTACATTCATAGGGCTTCTCTCCATTGTGTGTTCTCTCATGCTTAATTAAAGTGGATATCTGTCCAAAGGTTTTCCCACACTCATTACACTCATAGGGTTTCTCTCCAGTGTGACTCCTCTCATGCTGAATTAGGTGTGAGCCCTGGCTAAAGGCCTTTCCACACTTGTGGCACTCGTAGGGTTTCTCTCCATTATGTACTCTCTGATGCTGAACAAGGGAAGAGAGCACACTAAAGGCTTTATCACATTCATTACATTCATAGGGCTTCTCACCATTGTGTGTTCTTTGATGGTGAATAAGATTAAAACTCTGGCTGAAAGCTTTTCCACACTCACTACACTCATAGGGTTTTTCTCCAGTGTGAATTCGCTGATGCTGAATAAGATGTCCCTTTTGACTGAAGGTTTTCCCACACTCATTACATCCATAAGGTTTTTCTCCAGTGTGAATTCTCTGATGCTGGATAAGGGACAGGCGAGCACTGAATGATTTTCCACACTCATTGCAGATGTAAGGCTTCTCTCCAGTGTGAATTCTTTTATGTTGAATAACTTGTGAGTGCTGACTGAAGGATTTTCCACACTCATTACACCTATAGGGTTTCTCTCCAGTGTGAATTCTTTTATGTTGAATAACTTGTGAGTGCTGACTGAAGGATTTTCCACACTCATTACACCTATAGGGTTTCTCTCCAGTGTGAATTCTTTGATGGACAGTAAGGGTTCGGTTCAGGCTAAAGGATTTTCCGCATTCGTTACATCCATAGGGTTTTTCTCCTGTATGAATTCTCTGGTGTTGAATGAGAGATAATTGTGCACTGAAGGCTTTGCCACACTCAGTACAGTCATACGGTTTCTCTCCAGAATGAGTTCTCTGATGCTGAATGAGGTGTGACTGTCTACCGAAGGCTTTCCCACATTCCCGACACTTGTAAGATTTCTCTCCACTATGAATTCTCTGATGATGAATCAGGTTAGAGCTATGACTAAAGACTTTCCCACACTGATTACACTCATGAGGTTTCTCCCCAGTATGAATTTTAAGATGTTGAACATAAGATGAACGTGTACCGAAAGCTTTCCCACATTCATCACACTCATAGGGTCTTTCTCCAGTGTGAATGTTACAATGCTGAACAAAGTACGAACGACCACTGAAAGCTTTGCCACATTCATCACAGATGTAGGGTTTCTCACCACCGTGAATTCTCTGATGTTTGCTAAGGACAAAGTGTTGACTGAAAGTTTTTCCACATTTACCACATTCATAGGGCTTCTCTCCAGTATGAACTCTCTGATGCTGAATAAAAGCTCTACTGTGACTGTAAGTTTTTTCACACTCAGTACACTCAGAGGGTTTCTCTGGATTGTTAATCCTCTGATTCTCACTACGAACTAAACTCTGCCTGGGCACTTTCACGAACACGTTTGTCTGACAGGCTTTTTCTCCTGGATGGAAACTCTGGAGGTTAATGAGGTCCTCACTTTGTTGAAAGTTTTCTACACATGACACACTCTGATGGAGACTCTCCCCTCTAGACACTCCGTGATATCTGACAGGGTTTGAGTCTGCAGTGCAGTTTACCTCAATTGCATTGAATTTCTGGCCTTCCCCCACTGTGGGGGTTTTCACATGGGTCACTGTCACTGGCCTGAAATTGCTCCTCTGGCAGAAAGATTTCTTAAGTCCTTCCACTGAAGGTTTTCTCCAGCAATCCTTTAATTTCCCCTCAATTTTACTCATCTTTTCAGAATCAGGTTCCTTGGAAATATTCCTTACATGTTCTTCTGAGTTTGCTCTCTGGGATTCCATTTCTTTGGAAATTTCCTGCTTTGGAGTTAGCTCCTTTTTTTCCATTCTAGACTCATAACCTAAAAGAATGAAGACAAAACGAGTTACTTGTGTTTTACTATGAGAAAAAGAATTAGAGCATAAATAGGAACATTTATATGAAACAACTATCTCCTGGAGGATACTGGATTCTCAGAAAGCAAAAACAAAAAACGACCTCACTGGGAAGAGGAGAAGAAAGAGAAGAGGAGGAGAGAGAAGCATGCCATCAGAGCAATGTGAGCTGGTGTGGGAAGGAGGAAGGAAAGAAGCCCAAGGTCAAAGGCTTACATCTGCAGATAGGCTAGCCAGACACAGATGGAGCAGCCACAGCGAGGCACAACCTGAGGGGAACGGCTCCAAGAGAGGTGAGGAGGGGTGATGAGGAAGAAGGGAGTGGAGGCTCAGAAGGTCACCACCTCTGGTGATCACGTCAAAGCTGTATACTTTGTAAACAATGTATCTTAAGGCTTACACAGAACAGGTATTCAAACATTTGTTGAAAAAAATAAATGAATGATAAATAACTTATAATGAATGAAGGGTATACAGAGTAATGGATAATGGGAAAAACCATTTGATCTGGACAACTTAGTTTCACAGAAGCAAAGGAGGGAAAATAGAGAAAAATAGAAACAAAGAAGCAACCTACTCAAATCGCAGGTGTAGCACAAGGCAAAATGTGTGTTAGAGTCCACACTACACATTCCCAATGAACAAAAGTATCTGAAAATTTGTAAAAACTGTGATACAACTGAATTCTGAGTCCCAATGAAAGGAAATTTACCAAAAAACCCCCCAAAAAACCCAAACAAAAACACTGAATCACATGGATACACAGACTGCTGGAAGGACAACCCAGGTCAGAACAGGCAGAGGGTACCCCTGTTTTGAGATACCATGAAAGCAATGTTCTCTCTCTTTTGTAAACAGTGGTTATTACCAGAGCTGTAACAGGCTGTTACTTTCAGACTGTTTAGCCAGAACAAGGAGTCTGAGCTGAAAATATTAATTGGATGGGGTCTAAAATTGGGCTAAGTAGTCTTAAGACACTACTTAGTCTGTTAGTGAACCACTCACAGTACTTCAAAGTATTAAAGGTAAAAAGCAAACAATAATTCATTCTAGAAACCCATAAGCAGCCTGAAGGAGCAGGCTGTGGATGGTAAACATCCCAAATTCCTGTGGCTTCTGTCAGGGTTACCTGAGGTATTAAGAGTCTTCAACGCCTTAGGATTAGAGTCTAAAAAGATGATCCTAATCAAGATGTGTTATTTCACCAGGTAGGAAACAGATTAAAAAATGTGAACAAAACAAAAAACCACAGAACAGAGTGATCTGTGAATCAAGAAGCAGTGTCTCACACTAGTTCATGCTGTCATTTTCCCTCGGACTTCTGGTGGTCCTTGGTTGCCTGTTTACATTTTAAACAGAGGCAAACAAAAGATGCTTGGGAACCCTGTGTATGAGTGGTCTTGTCAATTGGAAGGGCATTTGAGTGAGGTGGTAGCTGTAAGGCCAGGGAACCCCCAAATGCCAAAATTTGGAGGTCTCTGCTCTAGGGCTGTTTGTTTTATTTGAGGCAATCCCCTAGTTTTTGCCATAGGTAGAAGACGCCTTACTGTTGGGTATTCTTCATGCAGGGTTAGAGGGAGGATGTGGTAGTATCAGCTGCTTTTGTATTTAGATTTTTTAGTTGATATCTCAGGATTTAAGTTTTTTTTTTTTTTGACCAAAAAACTCTCCAAAAGTAGAATATTTTTCTATCAAGAGGTGTAAAATATCTGGCTGCCTCTCTTCTTTGTGATGTTAACAGCCATTAGCAATCATTATTTATATTGGTTTTTAAATTTGGGAGTGCAAAATAGTGATTTCTAAGTCTGTCATTCATTCTTTTTTACCTGGAACTTCAATGAAGAGAAATTTCTACTCATCAACTGCTTAGTTATCCTGAGGTATAATACATCTAGTAAAGGCAGAACAAATATTTGATTCTTTTATTTACCAGTTTGCAGCATAAGTCGTCAGTTTCCTAGCATTCCTCAAAGGCAACCAATGAGTAGGGAATGTTTTTTTCTGAGTACATCAGACCAGCCTTAACAATGCCTAAGACCAAGCCCTTGACAGACAAGGTGATCCAATGGCATGTTGTCTGTCTGCCAGAAGGAGACTTAATCCTCTCTCAAGAGTGTAACATCATATAGAGCCGCTATAAGTTTTTGTCTATAATAACTGACAATATCAGAAAGCATGTTTTAAAAAAAGACTAAATGACAAGAAACCCAGAGGAAAAAAAATACACAATAGAAACTAACCCACAGCTGAATCAGATAGTCAAGAACCAAGATAAAAAAAAAGAAAAAACCAAACCAAAACTATGGTTAGTATATGTAATAACATATACTGATCACCAACTTCCTCACCTGTGAAATAGGGAAAATAATGTTTCTGTGAAGTTTCATTCTTGCAGATTATATGATGATTAGAAATAACTCACACAAAGGACCTACCACCCTAGCACAGACTGAAGCCTCAAGAAGTGATAGTGGGAGGTTGCATCACAGGCTACGGGAAATCTCCTGGGAGATAAACTATGTCTTTGTCCAGGTAAAGGGGAATGACAGGAAAGAAAAGAGTCATCAGCAGTCAATGTTAAACAGATTGTTTAACCCACAGAGGGGTTTCTCCCACTGCATGTGGAGAAACTGAGCGGGACCCCAAAAGTAAGTTTAACTGGTTCTGTTTCATCAGTGAAAATCCAGGTGAGAGAGATACAGAGGCCATGCTACCACTCAGTTATTTTACTGCTACCTCCACCTCCTTCCTGCCAGCATGGACCTGTTCTCCTACACGCCCACTGTTCCCATGGTGTGCAACCACCCTGGTGTACAAGAAGCTATATAGCACAAGCTTAGATGAATGGGCTCTGCGAGGTTGCAGAGTATGAGAAGGATTTGCAAACACCAACTGTATTTTTACATACAAGTAATGAACACCTTGTGCAATAGCATCAAAAAATATGGAATACTTAGGGATAAATCTGGTAAAAGATGTAAAATGCCTGTACATAGAAAACTACATTATATTAGTGAGACATTAAGACATAAATAAATGGAGACATACACCTTGTTCATGGGTCAGAAAACTCAACACATTTTAATTTTCCCCAAATTGATCTATAGATTCAATGCAATCTCAACAAAAATGCTAATAGACTTTTTTGTGGAGATCAACAAGCCAATTCTAAAATTCATATGGAAATACAAAGGGCCTGGGAACTCTGAGGGAGCAATGGCAGGAGCGAGAGTCTGGGCAGGAGGGCATGTCTCTGGGTGGTCTCTCCAAGTGGTGCCTCCAAGCAGCCAAGGCAGAGCTGGCCAGCAAGGTCTGAGGAGAAGTAGGTGACACGGAAGTGATGGGGAGGCAGCCACGGTAGGGAGCTAGTTGCCAGAGAAAGACACCTGAGTTCTTTTCTGAGATTATAGGAGCATTTGCTAGGGAGATAAAAATGAACCCATTTACGGCCACAGACTAGGGGCCATTAACAACAAAAAAAGAGGAGAGGAGAAACACGAGATAGAGAGGATGGAAAGCAAAGCCCTAGTAGTAACAAGAGATTCTGTCCGGAGGCCACAGAGAAGGGCCTGGTGAAGCGGTAGCACCTGCCAGCGGGGGCAGGAGAGCATGGGGGGGGTCCCTGCACACTCACCTCCACTCCTGTGCCTCCAGACCCTGCTGCCCTCAATTCTTGGTGAGTGTGGGGCCCATGGCTCTTCCTCCTGCTCCAGCCTGGAGACAATATCAGGTTTGGAACCTTGAAGTCCTGCTCCAGAGAAAGGAAGCAAGACCGATTATTCATCAGGTCCAGGGCAAGACGGCCCCGTGGGCAGTGCCTGTAGGCCTGTCATGACCTCCCCTGTCACCTGGTCTCCAAACCATAGAGACAGATGCAGGCTTCTGGCCCAGGTGAAGAAAAGTCAAACTCAGTTCTTCTGGGGGCCATGGATAAGGAATGGAGTTGGGGCCTGAACACATTACAGTAGAAGATTCACGACTGAGGTGTTGATGCCCAGCAGAAGGACCAAAGGGGAGCAGCATGTTCCAGGGTAAGGAGGGGCTCTGAAACCAAATGGAGTCAGATCCCAGATCTGCCCCTAACTACCTGTGTGAACTTAAAGAAGTTACGATATTTGTCAGCCTCAGGTTCATCTATGAACAGTGTATCCCACCACGGAACTTGAAGATTAATGAAGATTAACTCAAGGGATATTAATACACTTGCTGATCAACGAATAACATTCCCCTTCTGTACTCCTACAAACAAACTGTGACGACAAGGTCCCTGGCACAGCCTGTCCCCTCCTCTGTGCAGACCAGGCCTGCCTGGGACCAGGGTCAGCAATGCCCAATGTCTGGGCCCAGGAAGCTGAGGAGCCTCTGAGCGTCGAGCCCAGCCCCAGTCCCCAGGGCCGTTCATGGAGCAGGAAGCCCAGAGCTGAGCTCCAGCGAGGAGTCTTACCCAGTGAGACCAGGTTCCTGTAGGTCGCTAGCGTCACGTCCCTGTAGAGGCCCCTCTGAGCAGGATTCAGAAGGCCCCACTCTTCCGGAGAGAGGAGCACAACCACGTCCTCAAAGGAAACCAAGGCCTGGAATGACAAGATCTTGTTGCAATCTCAGGGTGGGCCTGGGCTGGGAGGAGGCTCTAAGCTCAGGACAGGCAAACCCCTCTGAGCACACATACCATTCTGTCTTCTCAAGAGTCAGCTCTTTGAGGCAGGCACCATTTGATTTGCCTTTGTCTGCCCAGCCGCTGCCCTCCACTGCTCCCAGTCCAGGGATTGAAAGAGACAGTGTAGAACACATTTCAGGGACTTGAACTCAGGGGCCGAGAACATCGGTGAAGACAGGGAGCCACCCACTGTCTGAGACTAGCCCCTCCTAGAGGGAACCATGGAGAAACTCCACCCAAAGTCTGAAGTCACAGAGAGATGTCTCCATGAGAACCACTCACCTGGATCCCACCAGGAAGGAGGTGCTTGTCCGCCATCACTGGGTCTCTGCAGCTTGTGTCGAGGACGCAGGCACTGCTGCAGGAGAGGGAGGAGTGTGATGAAGCTTGCTTCCACAGCAACTCTGAGACTTCTGCGCCTGGACCACTGCACGGGTTTTCTCTGACTGGCAGTTGAACCCACGCTTACTGATGCCCAACTCGTTTCTCCTGGGCCTTCCCTGAGTCTCCACCTGAGGCCACCTGGGCCAGAGGCAGCTCCTGGTCCTCAGCCATGGCTTGCTTTGACTGGCCCCTGGCCCGGGCCCCATCTGCATCAGAAGCGTCCATCCTAATGCACTGTGCCTTCACCCAGACTCACCTGGGAGGCACCAGCTGCTGTCAGAGGCATGGGCTCTGGACACCAACAGGACACAGTTCCAGTTTCGGACACACCACCTACTCACGCAGGGTCTCAGAGAAGTGACTTGACCATAAAACGAGAGCACCACCACTGACCATAAAGGACTGTTTTCAGAGTTAAGTGAGAAACACGGACACTGAACTTCGCACAGCGTTTGCAAGTCACAGACAGAGACGCTGACTAAACCTCAGCCACTGTCGTTACGGCACTGTTCACCGAGCGCCCACTCAGGGAGCGAACGGGCGCGGGCGTCGTTCGCGCGCGGGACGTGGTCTCCGCCTCCCCGCTCCCGGCGCGGCTCTCGCGGGTCCTCTGTCCACTCCAGCCGCTCCCGCCCGGCCAGCGGCACCGTCCCCTCCTCCGTTCGCCCCGACTCCGCCCACATTTCGCCTCCTCCGACAGGCCTCTTCACCCACGGCCGCCCGCGCAGCGGCGCCGGAGCCCCTCGCGCCGCTCCCGCCCGGCCAGTCCCTCCACCCACACAGGCGGGCGCTCCCCCTCCACGCCGCCCGCCCGAGCCACGCAGGCGCCGGAACCGTCCCGCGGCCCTCCAAGCGCCGCCGCCCGCCCGGCCCCGCGACGCTCCTCCGCGCCAGGCACCGAGGCCGGATTCACGGAGCTCCGTCGCCAGCAGCTAGGGAAGGAGCGCGGCCGACCGGCGCCGTGGCGCAGCGCCAGACCAGCCGGCCGGCAGTGCCCGCCCTGAACTTCCGCCTTACCCCGGCCCACCGGCCAATCGGATCCCAGGGTTCTGTTGGGCCGCTCTAGGCAGCTCAGAGGACTCAATGCTCCTGGCGTAGACCTGGGCGTTGGTGGAAGTTTTGTTGCCGGTAGACTTGCTTTGCAAGAAGTGTTAAAAGAAGTTTTTCAGAGAGATAGGAAATGATATAGGTCAGAAACTCGGATCTGCATAAAGAAAGGAAAAGGATCAGAGAAGAAATAAGTGAAGGTAAAATAAAATCTTATTTTTCTTATTTCTGATTAATCTAAAAGATCATTGCTTTTCAAAGTAATAATAGCAACAATGTATTGGATAATTACACCATATGGATAATTAAAACGAATGACAGCAATGTCTTAAGGGATGGTAGGGAGGAGTTGGGAATACATGGTTATAAAGTACCTATGCTACCTGTGAAGCAGTATAGTGTTATTTGAAAGTGGACTTCGATTGGTTCTCAATAACCGCTAAAATTTTTTTTTCAAAAGCACAATTGTTATGCTAAATAGAATAAAAAATGGAATAAGATAAAATGCTCAGTTAAACCAGAGAAGGCAGAAAAAGAGGGGAAGATTTTTAAAAAGAAGTAAGTCTGGGGCCCGCCCTGTCGCGTAGCGGTTAAGTGCGCGCGGTCAGCTGCCGGCCGCCCAGGTCCGCATCCCAGGCGCAGACCGAGGCACCGCCTGTCAGGCCATGCTGTGGGGGCATCCCATATAAAGTAGAGGAAGATGGGCACGGATGTTAGCCCAGGGCTGATGTTCCTCAGCCCCCCTCCTCCCCAAAAAAGAAAAGAAACAAGTACAATGAATAAAAAATAGGGCCGTCCTGGTGGCTTAGCGGTTAAGTGCGCGCGCTCCGCTGCTGGCGGCCCGGGTTCAGATCCCGGGCGCGCACTGACGCACCGCTTCTCCGGCTATGCTGAGGCCGCGTCCCACATACAGCAACTAGAAGGATGTGCAACCATGACATACAACTATCTACTGGGGCTTTGGGGAACAAAAAAAAGGAGGAGGATTGGCAATAGATGTTAGCTCAGAGCCGGTCTTCCTCAGCAAAAAGAGGAGGATTAGCATGGATGTTAGCTCAGGGCGGACCTTCTTCACACACACACACAAAATAGTTGCACACATGGTGCATATTAATTTGTGGAAATTAATAAAAGAAACCGTAACTAAACTGGAGTCGGGAAGGCCTGTAGGGGGAGCTCTCACCGCCATCACACATCGTCAAGTACACCAAACAGGAAGAGACGAGCCTGCATCTCCCACAGGAAGCACAACTACTTTACTATGAAGGAAGAATCCCCCCACGCCCCCCCCCCCCCCGCAACAGCTCAGCCAATGAGAAGCCATTTCTGTCCTGAATGGTTTCCCCAATGGTCTTTCATTTAGAACAACTTCCTGCTCCCGCTTTTTTTCTATAATAGCAAGCTCTCCTGCTTTGTTTTCCCATTTGCCTATGGTTCACCATAGCATGCATGTCCAAAATTGCAATTCTTTTGGCTATTCCTGCATAAACTTATTTTGAGGATAACAAGCAAATTTGCTTTCTAAATTGAAAAATCCAACCATATTAATAATCACTTTAAATGTGAATGGTCTAGATACACCAATTAAAAGACAGAGACTGTCAGAGCTGATAAAAAGACCCAACTATATATTGTCTACAAGAAACCCATTTTAAGTATAGAGACACAGATAGATTAAAAAGTAAAGGGAGGAGAAAAGCATACCATGCTAACACTAATCAAAAGAAAGTGGGACTATCTGTATTGATCTCAGACAAAGCTGACTTCAGAGCAAATAAAATTATCAGGGATAACGAGGGGTATTACATATGATAAAGGGATCAATTCTCGAAGAAAACATAATCATTCTCAATGTGTATGCACCTAACAACAGAGCATCAAAATACATGAGGCAAAAACTGATAGAATTGCAAGGAGAAACAGATGAACTCACTATTATAGCTAAAGACTTCAACACCCATACATCAGTAATTGACAGATTCAGCAGGCAGAAAATCAGTAAGGATACAGTTTAACTGAACAGAACCACCAATCAATTGGATCTAATTGACATTTACAGAACACCCCATCCAACAAGAGCAGAATACACATTCTTCTCAAGCTCACATGGAATGGTCACTAAGATAGACCACATTCTGTGCCATAGAACACATCTTAGCAAATTTATTTATTTTTTATTTTTTTATTTTTTTAATTTTTTGTTTATTGCAGTAACATTGGTTTATAACATTGTAAAAGTTTCAGGTGTACATCATTGTACTTCTATTTCTGCATAGAGTACATCATGTTCACCACCAAAATACTAATTACAACCCATCACCACACCCATGTACCGAATTATCCCTTTCACCCTCCTCCCTCCCCCCCTTCCCCTCTGGTAACCACCAATCCAATCTCTGTCCCTATGTGTTTGTTTATTGTTGTTATTATCTACTACTTAATGAAGGAAATCATATGGTATTTGACCTTCTCCACATCTTAGCAAATTTAAAAGAATAAAAATCATACAAAATATGCTCCCAAACCATAATGAAATTAAACTAGACATCAATAACAGAAGGATAGCTAGATAATCCCAAAATATTTGGAGATTAAACAACACACTTCTAAACAATACATGCTCAAAAAAAAAAAGAAGTCTCAATAAAAAATTTAAAATATTTTAAACTAAACTAAGGTTAAAAATCTAACCTTGGGGGTGGCCCTGTGGCTTAGCGGTTAAGTGTGCGTGCTCCGCTACTGGCGGCCCAGGTTCGGATCCTGGGCGTGCACCGATGCACCACTTGTCCGGCCATGCTGAGGCGGTGTCCCACATACAGTAACTAGAGGGATGTGCAACTGTGACATACAACTATCTACTGGGGCTTTGGGGAGAAAAGGAAAAAATATATATAACCTCAAAATTTGTGGATATCAACAGATTCTGAAGTTTATAAGGAAAGGCAAAAGACCCAGAATAGCTAACCCAGTACTGAAGAAAAACGACAAAATCTAAGAACTGATTCTACCCAACTTTAAAACACTCTGTAAAGTAATCAAGACAATGTGGTATTGGTGAAAGAATGCACAAATAGATCAATGGAACAGAACAGAGAGCCTAGAAATAGACTCCCACAAACATAGTCAACTGATCTTTGACAAAGGAGCAAAGGCAATTAAATGAAGCAAGGATAGTCTTTTCAATATATTGTACTGGAACAATTGGACATCCACATCCGAAAAAAAAAAAAAGAATTTAGACACAGACCTTACATCTTCCACAAAAACCTAAGTGGATCTTAGATCTAACTAGGTTTTTTGTTTTGTTTTTTTGTTTTTTTAAATAACACCTAGGCTATAATTAACAAGACAGGAAACAACATGTGCTGGAGAGGTTGTGGAGAGAAGGGAACTCTCATACACTGCTGGTGGAGTGCAAACTGGTGCAGCCACTATGGAAAACAGTATGGAGATTCCTCAAAAAATTAAGGATAGAACTACCATATGATCCAGCTATTCCACTGTTGGGTATTTATCCAAAGAACTTGAAAACACCAATTTGTAAAGGTACATGCGCCCCTGTGTTCATTGCAGCCTTATTCACATTGCCAAGACTTGGAAGCAACCTAAGTGCCCATCAAGGGACGAATGGATAAAGAAGCTGTGGTATATATACACAATGGAATACTACTCAGCCATAAGAAATGATGAAATCCAGCCATTTGTGACAACATGGATGGACATTGAGGGTATAATGCAAAGTGAAATAAGTCAGAGGGAGAAGGTCAAATACCATATGATTTCCTTCATTAAGTAGTAGATAATAACAACAATAAACAAACACATAGGGACAGAGATTGGATTGGTGGTTACCAGAGGGGAAGGGGGGAGGGAGGAGGGTGAAAGGGATAATTCGGTACATGTGTGTGGTGATGGGTTGTAATTAGTATTTTGGTGGTGAACATGATGTAGTCCATGCAGAAATAGAAGTACAATGATG